AGAAGGGTACTTTATTTGAATGGAAGTTGGAATAAAAAAGTGCCTTCAAGGAGTTGAAGGAAGCATTGATTATTGCTCTAATATTGCAATTGTATGATCCTAATCTTCTAAGTACACTTGACATTGATGTTTTGACTTTGTTATTGGCGTAGTTCTTCAATAAAAAATTTATAAGGTTTCTTTTGAATTTGATTATAGCTTGTTTAGCATTATTAAGGTATAATTAGAATTTATTTAATATTCTATTAGAATTAGGATTTTGTTGTAGCAATTTCCATTTTATATTCGATAGCCAGGTGCCTTTAAGCAAGACTTCACATAATATAATAACATTCAATTTCTAAAGTTCAAACTTTGATTGCTTATAATAGAAGTAACATAAGCTGGTAAATATAAGATCAATATTAAGAGATGTAAGCTAAATTTCTAAGAAATGTATTGATAAGATTGAAGTTTTTCTTAGCTTTGACTTTAATATATATTAGGTATTAGGAAGAATCTTAAGAAATTTTCATATTGCTTGAAGTTGAAGCAACTTTAAGAAATTTTTTGAAAAAATTTTCATATTGCTTGAAGAAGAAGTAACTCTAGAAAGCTTCTCAAAGAACTTTAATCTTCTTAGAAATTTTTAGAATCTATTAAAATATTCTAAGAATCTTTTAGAATCTTCTAAAACTTAATAAAATATTCTAAGAATCTTTTAGAATCTTTTAAAACTTAATAGAATATTCTAAGAATCTTTTAGAATCTTCTAAAACTTAATAAAATATTCTAAAAATATTTTTAAAATCTTCTTATTAGATGTCTGTAATAACAAGTGCTAAAGTATAATGTGAGTGAGATAATCAATTGTAAATTAAGAATTTATTGCAAATTTTTATTACCCATGCTACATTACAAATGCGCTAAACTTAAATAGAAACAAATTTAATTGAATAAATACTAGAGTTTCATAGAGTTTTATAATTTGGATTTATGATTTGAATATTCTAAAAAAATTATAATTTCAAAAAAAAATATCTTTATTACAAAATAAATATGTTGATTAATTTTAGTTTCTATTAAAAATATTTTTTATTTTTTTATTAATTTTAGATTTCATTATAATATTAATATTGATATTAATGTTAAATTTGAATATTAAATTATTTTAATACTTTTAAAAATATTATTTCAATTTTTTCATGATTTTATTATTAATTCTAATTTTAATTTTAATTTTAATAAAATATTATTTGATTATTATTAAAAATATTTTTTATTCTTTTATTCATATATTTATTTTTAATACTAAATTTTTAGAATAAATAATATCACATTATTATTATTTTTATTTTATTTATTAATGCATAATTATTTTATTTCGTAAATATATAATTATTTTATTTTTTAAAATGGTCCTAATTTAAAATGTACGATGTGTAGAAGTTGAAATCAATAGTTTAGAGGGAACAAGTAATGAATTGCAAAGTCAAAGTGAGCTATTAGAAATCAACTCCAATATTAGTAAATATAATCAATATTATTGTGCTAATAAGCCAAACGATCCTATTAAGACTTAAGTTGACAATTATAAAGCTATTGAAATTTTATATTTATAAACCAACAAAATTAGAAGAGGTGGCAAAGTTGGCAAAAGAGGCTGAGTCAATTTAATTAATGGAGGAAAGAAAAGATGCCATTGAAATAAGAAGAAAGCTAGCTCAAATGGAGTTATGGACAAGGAAAGAGTGAATATATAAAGCAGAGTGTTTTTCTTTAAGAATCTTAACATAGAGGACATCATGAGTATTTGAATAACTTTAGAATATGTCAACAACCAAAATTTGCAACCACTACCATCAAAGCAATGTTTGAATATCATTGTTAATATAAGAAAGAATTCTTACAGAATAAAGAGCAAAAGAAAGTAGCATCAATAGAATATGAAGAGCATGGAAGAATTAAAAAAGTAAGAATAAATTATGATATTTCATATACAACTTTCAAAGAGTGGTGTTATGGAATGTGATCTTTCAAAAAATAATAATAATAATAATAATAAATAAATAAATAAAAATAATTTAAGAGGTATTAACTATAGAAGAAGAAAGCAAGCTTGTGAAGTACATTTTAGTCATGTGTGATAAAGGCCTAGATCTCTTGTCTATAGCTTTCAAAAATAAAATTCTTTGTGATGGATGGTTGAAGTGGTTTAAAAATTGTCATCCAAAGCTCATGGTGAAGGTGGCATAAGTTCTTGTGTCTTCTAGAGAAAAAAGCACTATACAAAGAAAATATGTAAAGTTTCTATAATAATCTAAATAAATTATATATATTGCATGGATATCCTCCAAAAAGAATGTAGAACTTTTAAGTCCTCAATTCTAAATCCTAAATCAAACCTTAATCAAATATTAATCAAATCCTAAATTTTAATCTTAAATCAAATCCTAAATCAAATTCTAATCAAATCCTATATCTTAACTAAATCCTAATAAAATCCTAGAAAAATCTTAGAGATGCTTATATTAATTAAGGTTTTTATTTTTAATATTTTTTTGGTATTTTTTTGAAATTTTTTTAAGATTTTTCTATTATATATATTCTTTTAAGGTTAATTTATGATTTCTTTATGTTTTTTTATATAAATTCTTTGACATTTCTTTTCGAATTTAATTAAAGAGTAATTAGCATTCTTATAATTTAAATGGAATTTTTTTAGGATTTTATTAGAGTTGTTAGGATCTTCTTGTTGCAAATTCTATTTTACCTTCTACAACCAAGTATTTATTGCATTTTCAAGAAAACTTCATGAAATACAACAATGTAGAATGACTAAGTAGCATTTCTCCAATCCATAGGTATTTGTTGATCCTTGACAAACATGCAAGCCATATTATTGTTGAAGTGGCGAGACAAATATCCAACATAGGAGTAGACATTCTAATCCTACTATCTCAAATATTGTATGTCATGTAGTTTCTAAATAAATGTATATATAGATTATTCAAGATATATTTCAAGGAATATCAAGATTATTAGATTTTCAAAAACCTAAACTAGCTTGTATAGAAACAAACTCTTGTGTATTCAATGTCTCTAAACTTGAAACATATTGTGATACTAAAAAATATCACCAAAAGTTTTAATTCTATTTATATCTATCTGCTTGACAAAATGGCAATGGACAATCACATGGACAATGGCAAAATATACTTGCAATTTATAAAAGTTGAACAAGATAAAAAAATAATATAGTTGAGAATTTTGCTAAGAATGAAAGCACTAGCATGAAGTCAATTAGTAAAGACATACATGTTTTTGTTCATATGGATGTATTAGATTTGGAATTGGTAGAAGAAGTTGGTAGTTTAGATCCCACATGTTCTAATGAAGAATCTATAACTCACTTCCTAGCATTGCCCACCATCATAGATACATCTAACCCAAAGAAATGCAATATGGATCCTATAGTGGATTTTTCTAAATCATTAATGCTAACCTCAAAGGCATACATGAGCATTGTGCATCAAATACAAGATTAAAATCTTCAACAAGAAAGGAAGAAAGAAAGAGCACATGGAGAGTCAAAACGTAACAAATTAGTAGATATAGAAGAAAGGAGGATTTTAAGAGAAGTTCACTAGGTTGTAGTAGCAGAAGAACAGGCCTATAAGGCTATTAAGCAAAAGGTTGTTGCAAAAGAGCATACTTGCAAGGCACTTGAACAGAATGCTTTGACAAAAGGTTGTTGCAAAAGAGCATACTTGCAAGGCACTTGAGCAGAATGCTTTGACAAAAGGTTGTTGCAAAAGAGCATACTTGCAAGGCACTTGAGCAGAATGCTTTGACAAAAGGTTGTTGCAAAAGAGCATACTTGCAAGGCACTTGAACAGAATGCTTTGACAAAAGGTTGTTGCAAAAGAGCATACTTGCAAGGCACTTGAACAGAATGCTTTGACAAAAGGTTGTTGCAAAAGAGCATACTTGCAAGGCACTTGAACAGAATGCTTTGACAAAAGGTTGTTGCAAAAGAGCATACTTGCAAGGCACTTGAGCGGAATGCTTTGACAAAAGAATGCACATATAAGGTGCTTGAGCAAGAATCCTTGTACTTAGCGACATCCACAAAGGAGACACAACATAAGGATTTGCAAGAACAAAAGAAGTCACTATGTTAGGCTTACCTAATCCTACAAGTCAAGTCTTAAGTGCTATAGATAGCAAAAAGGTCAAAGAGACCATTAGAGCAATTCAATACCCTCATACTTACATTGAGTGTAAAGAGATGTCGAAACATTACAAGTCCAAAATTATAGGTTGTAAGCAACCTTGATTTTTTATTTGGAAGTTTTCAAAACTATATTAATTATTTACAATCTATACTGCAATTGTAGCAATTGCCCATCAACACAAACCTCACAAATTTGCATCTTATTGTAATACCTTAAACATAGCCTATGCAACCCCATGGCAAAAAGAGATCTTAAAGAATTTATTGGAGTGAGATTGAAAGATGGAAGATGTGTAAGATATTGTATGGAGGTGAGCAAAAATCCAACTCAAACATAGTTGATTAGTTACAACCAGATGATTGAATTTTCATAGCCACATATTTACATTCATGGATATCACAAAATTAGGTGAAGTTTGGTAGCATTAATAAGTGCTACACATCATTATTTTGTACAGGTTGGATTTTCAGTTTTGTAATCCACCACCAATTGGAATTAGATAGGCCTATATGTTCAAAATGGATCAAAAAGAATCTTCAACTACAACATTTATATAAATTCTTTTTTTGGGCCAAATAGTGTAAAAACACGAACTCCTTTTTATTTCTATTTCTCCTATTAATATGTATTCAGTAAACAATGCAACTGTTTCGTGCTAGGTTGTAGAATCCATCAGTGCTGAGACAATGTAACAATCACGGTACAAATTCAACAGACTCTGAACAGATCCAATCACGAGGTCTCTGAATGAAACTAACTAGCAAATTCCAGCAGACGGAACACTGGGAAAAGGTCAAGAAGCTGCCTCAGCAACCACTTCGAAAATTTGATAGTGAATTACAGACCTAAGAAACTGAAATACTGATTTCAATGGCAATTTGCCTTGTATGGTGTGACCTGAAATAGTTTTACTTCATGACTACAAAAGATCCTTACGTAGAAACTAATGAATTACCACAACAAACCTCACCATATCCAATCTGATTAATTGATCAAAGAACAGAAGTCTAAAACCTGGATTTGCACAGAGAAGCTGATCGCAGCTGACCTAGGGAGGTAGTGATGTAGGCGGTAACTGCTGCTGCTGCTTTTCAACTATATCCGCCTGCGTAGGAGCTATAGTACCTTTCACATATACATCAACTGGGACATATGCGTAACCTTTTGGTAACCGCATATTTAATATAGACGCCTCCATAGGCGTCATCAGTTGCTCCCGGTGCAGCCTCGTGCGTCCATGCTGCTATGATATCCGATCAACAATTTCCGATCAGGCATGTGATTGTACTTTCAAAATGTTCAAAGCTGTGCCTCAAAGATATGAAGCATAGAGTTTTTTCACAAAACCACACAATGACTGTTTATTACCTTCTTCACTTTCTTAAGCCGTCTAGTGTGCTCTTTTGGCTCTTCAGAGGGAATTGAGTTGACGATCGGATTGAGCTGGTGAGTATTTGGCATTTGTTGTACTGATGCAAATGACAGTTCTGCAGCATAAGAGGCTATTATATCAGATTTATGTACTGTGGGCTACGAAAACACAAATCTAACTAAGGCAAGAAGATATTTGATAGTACCTCCCCCAACCGTTTGAGTATCACTTCTATACATTCCAGCTGGTTCCAACTGCTCTAAATTGATCATCCCAGTGTGACCAGCAGAAAATAGTTGCGCTACAATGATGTCCCTCGTCGTCTGCAACATGTCTCTCTGCCAAGCCACGTTTCATAGAACCACATCAGCAGATACAGAAAAAGGATATTCGATCAAGTCTTACTATGCTTTAAACACGCTTAAACAGAACCAGGGTCAAACAGTCCGGTACCTTCAATCGTTCACGACGACATATGCGCTCACACATGAGACGCACACGCTCGAACTCTACCTGCAGAATCAGAAACGCACAATGAGAAATGTGGATTCAGTGGAGCTTTAGCAACATAAATTATAAACACCAAACCATTTCTTACCCGAATCTGCCGTAGAGCATGCAGTTCCTCAGTCTCACTGCGCTGCCTCTGTTCCACCTGTTCATCCTACCAATAGGATTGGTTCAGACAAAACAGCTCCAGCAAGTTAATGTTTGTTACCGTTTTCCCTTATAAGTAAGACTTCGACCAAGCCAAGAACTCACATTCACCGGTGGTACCAGTGAATATTCCTGCCCCTCCAGTTCACAAGAACTATCGTTCTTACCTTGGCTCTCTGAACAATACTATGCCTGTCACAGTATGCCCGATATTGCAATCGCCCACCGGCACTGACTCTGACGGTCATATACAATCCCGAAAGCCGCGCACATGGTGGATGGAATGCACCATGACAATGTCCAAAATTGCACTGCAAAATGTTGAATCACCAAGCCTCAGTAATCAACAAATTACTTACACCAAACAATAGCATAACTGCAACTTATTCAGGATCTATTACAACCCAAATCAGACGCTGAAAGAAGGTCTGCGAAAAGAGCAACTTATCACGACTATTATCTGCTTTAATTTGAATTCCGACCTCGGATTCACTCGCATGCCGTATTAAAATCGAATGATATTATAAGAAAATCATCATTGTGGAGGGACTGACCTCGAGAAACTATACTATTAGAGGTTATGCATCAGAATGATCTACAAAATGTATGAAACACTATACCGTCAAACATGCGCCCTCTTGACGTTGACAAACACTGCAAAGTAACGCAAAACGTTCCGGGTTGACATTTTCCTGCACAGAAGCATTGCATAGTTAATATCTTATTAAGATTGCCTCGGTGCTCGGACAGAGAATAAGCGGGGTTGGGAACAAATATTGTAATAAGATTAAGTGTACAACACGTTTAACTTACCATCCCCTGAATAAGTGACGCTTGATCCTTGCCAGTCGAGGTTTCAGGCATCCACTGCACACCCAACAAGCAATGGTTCAATTGTCACAGATAACATAAATAAATTGCCCTAGAACCATTTAACGATCAGGATGAAAAAGCTGCTTCAGTAAGTTTTATAAATATATAAAGAAACCGTTTGTAAATAGTTCACCTGAGCACAGAAGACATGCACCCATCGACCGTCGGTTGAACGCTTAAGAGCCCCTGCTCCACGGCAGCAAAGGGCACACTGTGCCCACAACATATTAGCCTGACCACCGACACCAGGTGATCTCAAACTTTGAGACTGTCGTTGCAGCTCAGCACAAGGCTGGCAAAACCAGACCCCCGGAGGAATACGCCCGATTCCATAGCATTCTTGATGAACATTCACCTACTCAAAAATAACCTTAAAGTTAATCACAAAATAAATATATTTCCGAGAAAAGAGCATGTGCAAACATTACCAATCATAAGCGTGCAAAATATTTACTCACTTTGCAGCTGTTACAAGTCACAATCTTATTGGCTCGAGAAGACTCTCGACTGCTGCACACATCACAAGCAGATTCGCCACCCTCCAAATGTGACTGCCCGTGGCCGGTCCTTAAGACTGCCAGTTCTGTGCCCAGTCTAGCCTGATAGCCCGAGCGGGCCGAAAGAGGATGATGGGGCGAGCTACTGGGGACATGGCCAACCCTTGGAACAGGTGGCTTGAAGTGGCGAATCGAACTTGACAGCACACCAGAACCGTAGCCAAAATTAATTTCATGTGATGGACTCGAGGGTTGATTGTCGATGTCAGATAGAGACAACGCATCTCGTTTGATATAGCCAACTCGAGGAGAAGCAGCGGCAGCAGCAGTTGCAGCCGCCAAGACAGCCTGCGCTTCTTTGTGACGTTTCTCCTTGCGACCTTGTTTCTTTACTTCTCGCTTCTGCGACATGTAACGATGCACGAAATCCAACTCTTTTGCGCGTTTGAGTGATAGCGCACGCTCTTCAGATAATTTCGGCATCAGCTTCGCGATCAACATCTCTAAATTCCAGCACCACCAAAGTCCAATTAGAGATAGGTTTCAAAAATGAGTTCCACCTTGTCAAAGTGACTCAATGCAGCTTCGACCTAAAAACACCAGTCATACTATATTGGAGTAAAACAGAGTGATACATCACATCTACCAACATTTTATCACTGTTCACCTAAAAAACAGTAATAGGCAGAATACGTACCGCAATTTAAACGATTTTCAACAGCATGGTCGAGTAGAGAGTTTTGCAAAACCAATATCTCCCCTTCGATCTCGTCACTAGGTGCCAACTTTAGCACACCTTCCTTATCTGCTGCTCGCAACTGTTCCCATTGCTCCTCTAACGAGTCGGTGGCACCACCTTCAAAAGCTCTCGTTGGAGCCTTGGACGATTTCTTATCAATAGGATGATCAATGTCTGACAGCTGGCGATTCGACTCACTAGTAAGTAGATGTCTCAGTCTTTGCTCAATTTGAGGATGCGCAAAAGACTGAGGAACATCTTTTTGTAGCCTAGAGGAGCACAACAATAATATCAGTCCCGTTTGAAGTTTGTAAACACAAACACAATTTGGTGCGAGTAAGTCCGGGCTTGATACTATCCCAAATGAAAACTAACATGAACTAGGATCTCTACATAAGGTTCAAGATAGTGCTTCCACTTCACTATAGTAATCTTCAGTGATATGTGACTGAGTAAACAAACAAGTCTAATATATATATATATGATAGGGACAACATCCACCCCTGTCACTCACAAGTTTGATTTTGTAAAGTCTAGCTGCCATATGTAAAATCACGAAGTTAAAAATCCCATTCAGACTGTAGAAACCATAAGATAACTGCCTCTACTATTTCAATAAACTGTTTCCCAAAAGTAAGAAAATGAAATGCAATATAGTTAAACGATGCATAAACTACAAATTTACAGCCCGAAATTAACTCAGGTTAACCCCAGAAAACTTTACTGTATAAAAAAAAACAACAGACATGTTCATCCAAGCAGCACGTAATTTGAAATGTTGATACTCCACCCAATACTTCCATAAATACATGCAACACAAGGAATGGCAACCCCGGGTCCTATGGAGCATTGTACTTACTCTTCTTTATGTTGTTTGTCTGAATGTGTGGCTTCAGGATTTGAATTATCCTCCTCCAACCCTTCAATCCCAATTGCAGGACTAGGAGTTTCCTTTCCATGCTGGAATAAAATACGATTACCAAAAGTCAGCAACATCAACAATATTTCGCATGTCACGCAAGAGTCTACACGGAACTCACTCACGTACAATCAATTCCGTGACCCACCTCCGTTAAGATCCAAGCCAATAGTACTACTTAAATAAATATTTTAGTCACTTCGTTTGAGCAGATAATTTACGTTGCCTCAACTTGAACGCAAAAAAAACACAGAAAAAACGGAGGATCTTTTGACATCTTGCTAAAGACCAGAAATACGATTATGAAGAAAAAATGACAATGTTAGGAGAAATAGTCAATGACTTGTTAGAGGATGAAAAGTACAAAGTCTCGGGAGGAACAGCAAGGATGTCAGAAAGTAAAGTTTTGTGATAATGGAAGATGCTTACTTCCACACTGCGACTACGCTGCTGCTGCTCCTCACCCCCTTTATTATCACAAGCAGTAGCCACTTCACCAGATGCATGGTCCTCTGCCACCGCGAGGACGCCTTGTCCTGTAATTCCTTCCTTTGAGGCAATACTGCAGCGAAGGTCAGAATGATCACTTTTAATCAAGCTGCTCTTCTCTTCAATCTCATCACCGGACATCACGTTGCACTTGGATGCTGCTTGCTTAAACAAATCCGCAGTATCAGAGAGTGGTTGCAAAGCCTCCCAGGACTGGAAAGATGGGCTTGCTGCCAGATGTGAATCCTGTTCAAATCCCTGTTTGCCAGTTGTCATTGACCACATAAGCCCATGATTCAGTCAAATAGATAGGCAGACTGCTAGATGAAACCTGCAGAACAGAAAAAGATCTGTGAGGTGATACTTCCGTTTAACCTGCCCTCACAAACCAAGTAGCTACTTATTTGTTCAATACGAACTAGGTGTAACATACACAACTGAAAAGGTATTAATGGTATAACTTGCCTGCTGCACACGATCAGATGGTTGCATCTGTTCGAACCGTTCTTCAGTTGGGTCCCTGAACTTGCTCCCATGGTCTTCAAACTTTTCGAACTCCACTACCGGGTTTCCTGAATTCGAGACATTATTTTGACTACCATCAAGGTTACTAAAGTCCATCTCATGCTGGGCATCGTCCACAAAGTAGGGGTTATTACCAGATTCAGGAGATATTTTTTCCTTGTTCATTATATCCGTTAAGTGAGACTTCTCGTCTGAGGGCTCATTGCTTGTTCTAGCATCAACATCAGTGGCATTGTCCGCCGCATCTGTTAGCTTCAATTGAGATGTACCGGCATCAACATCCTCATTCGGTATCACCGAAGCTTTTCCCATATGAGCAGCCGAATGCTTTGAGCAGTAGGATCTATATTCAATCTGCAGACAACATTTCAATGCTTTGTTCAAGAGGTTCCAAGTGATCTTCATTATTGTTTCAGACGGTGTTCTCAAACAGTGAACCAAGACAGTGAACCAATAGCAGTCGCAATCTGGTTAGGGCTGCTTACATCCTCACTATCTTCCATGCTGCACACCTCCATGTAGTACTTCGCCTCTCTAGCACATAGAGGATGAAAAGCAGTTGCGCACATTCCTGCAACACATGTACAGTAGTTAGCCTGCTCCGTTCTTAGGGACGACCACACAACCAGCCTTCCAGTGTTGACATCCACTCCACCAGGCAAGTAAGACTTCCCTCTCCAATACCCAAAACCCTTGAAGTAATGCACAAACAAGCTAGTGGAATGTAGCCAAAATATGCTAAACACACTCCTGATAACACAACCTGGCAATATGCTCGATAAATGACCAGCATAATCCGTAGCTGAATAACGACCAGCATACAGAAACAGAAGGGTTGAATTGCACGGAGTCATTGAATTGCTTTGTTATTGCAGCAAAAAAGTGGCAAGGTACCATGGCTACACTGGATACAAGCACCATGCTTTTCTTTGCAAATGCTGCACAGCAGGCGCCAACGCTCATCACGCACACCCTCTATGTTACGGATAGGCTCCATAACCTCCATATTCCCGATGAAGGTCTCCGGCACCCATTGACTACAAAAGAGGTGGGCAAACTTCGTGCCTCTTCTTCCTATAGTCTCTTTGCTATCTACCTCAACCACTGGTTTCAAGGCACCCCCCTTCGAAGGACAAAGCACACACACTAGCGGTACTAGTGTAGGTGCATACACCACCGCGCCTGAGCAGCTTTCGACGTTCATGGATGACTTCCAACTACACCAGGAGCACAGCCATTGGCCCTCGGGAACTGGTCGCACACCATAACAGTCCTGATGGACAGCTACGTTGCAACTGTCGCAGAATAAAATATGATTACTTTCATCACTGTCCCCACAATTGCAAACGTGACATAACTCTTCCCCATCCTCATGTTCAAGTGGTGGCGAAATGACGGTTATCAATTCTCCACTCTTCTTGTTCTTTTTGCTGGTAGGACCGCTTGAAGGTAACTTCCGCTTAGGACGGGGAACACTCTGCTCTACTACTAAATCGGCCTGTTGCAAATCCTCCTCGGCCCATTTCTCAGTGTAGTGACGACCTACAGGCGGAATCAAAAGACAATGATCCACCACATTACCACTTTCATTGAATTGAAAACTGGTTGTTGGCAAAAGTAGCTGGACATCTGAAGTCGTCACGTCACGAAAGTAGTCATCCATCTGCGTCCAGAAAAGACCAACAGGAGCATCGCCAGCTGATGGTGGATAATCTGCATGATGCTTGTGCTTACCGACTGGTTTACTATCGCGGCTTCTGGGTTGTGTTTTCTTTGCTCGGTTCTTTCGTTTGTTGTCCAAAAGTACTGCACCTTTCACAGAGTAAGAACCAAGGGACACGGGGAACGATACCTCCCCAGGGTGTTCAGGGTTCTCACGAGATGCATCGTCTGCTACTACTTCATTCAGTAGTTGGCTGTAAATATCTACTGTTGCATTTGAGCCACGGATACTCGAACTACCAACTAGCTTGTGAGAACCACCTTCCGCGCCTCGTCCCATCATCTTCCAGAAGAGTACCCCAAGTCAAGAAAATTAGAACTAAGTACTTTCAACCAGGTCATCACAAAATGTCCGCGCACGAGAACCGCCAGAAGTATCGTCCCACGAACCCTGAAAATCTACACACAAATAAACACGTATATCAGAAATATTTTAATTACAGCAAAAGCGTAAACATACAGAACTAAAATGAGAGGTAAGCTAATGACGCATTAGAACGTCGTTTTCACAAAATCCAGTACACCACAGTGCTTGAGATAAATGGACAGTCACAGACCAGTGGCAGACACACATGACCAGGATTTCTTGCTAAACACTCAACAGAGACAGACACTACGTAAATTGTGGTTGAGGGATTTCGACCACATTCAGGTACAGATGGAGATGGAACTCAGCTGTGCAAGAGCTCGTCCTCACTGTTGAAGTATACCAGTCATCACTAGAAAGCAGTACACTACATGTTGGCACTTGTTACAAGAACGGAGAAATGAACCTGATTATTCTCGATAATTTCAGAAAGTGTGATGAACTGTGCCAGCAACCCTGTCTTCACCAATGCAGGTCTCGAACAGGGTGGCGCCACTTAATACTCAGCTACTAGTGTTCCACTTCACAGCATAGCAATTACCTCGGAATTCAGAAAGTCCTGTTGTTCTGCCTGCCCAAATTCAATCCTAAGAGGTAAAGTATGTTCCAGCTTCACAGTCTCCCAAAATTTGACATTCGCATTTAGGATATCGCCTCCTGCTGACGAGAGAAAAGATCCATTTTGAGATTTAGTTTATCACTGTCGAGACTACAGTAATGTTTTCGGCAGAGTGATGCTACGCCCCTAACGTAGTGAACGCTCCAAACGACGCCACGCTCGCACAGCACATACAAATGCAGGGCGGCCATCGTCCCCAGAATATAACACTCTCTTCAATCAAATAAACTACAGCAAGGAAAGCATTCCCAAGTACCACCACCGAAGCTCCCGACCCTGCAATAGATACACCCGGACCACAATCTCAATAGACTGTCCTCTTCCCGCACAACAACGCCCCCGCAGTTGCACTCCTCTCCTGCCCTGTCTGCTTCCAAAATCCCTACTACACCAATATCCAGATCCCAAACCTCACACACATTACAGGAACACGCACGAAACGTTCAAACACACCATCCGGTTCAATACCGTCACAGATCCAGCTCCAATCGCACCCGGCATCTTCAATCATCCTTGGCACATCAAAAAAACTGCCACAAACCCTCCCCACCTCACATCATACCGAATCCACCGCCCCACCACGTCGCACGAGAAGTGAACGGCCCGGTAGCAGAGCATCAGCCGTGCGCATCTACACGTCCCCCGGGCCGATCGAACTCACCGATCGCACGTTGCAATCAACCCTAGCTTGCTGTTTCCGCAACCGCTACGCTGCACGGGCGGGCAAACCTCAATGGAAGCAAGAAACCTAGGGTTCTTTCCCAATGCATGTGCCCTCACCGTCGTTGCTTTCTCGTTCTCAATCCGACGAATGTCATCCCCCGTGTCGCCAGCCCGCCCCCGGTTTTGTGTGAAGTCGACGAAACTCGACGCGTGTATAGTTCTCATCCTCCATGTTCCCCGCCATTTTCCCGCCACCGCCGTGCCCTGCGATTCGCGGGCGCCTGTGTGAACGCGTCTTAAGTTTATCCAGTCCATTCCAGGACTGTGTGGTGTGGACGTAGTCAAGATGTCCGTTAGGCTCTCGAGTGTCCCATGACATCCGGGAGCCGCGCGTAACGGGCGGACCAAGCTTCTTCCGCCACCACCAGGCCCGGCCCGGCCCAGCCCCCGGGGCCTCAGCGTCTACGACCATTCACATAGTGCCACGTGGAAAATGTCTTGAGAACCAACGTTCCACTCGGGTTCCTCTCACGTTCCTGGATTAATCGGCACTCTGGAGTTCAAGTCCTGTACGATAGAATAACAAATACAATGATAAATGATTTGAATGCCCCAACTTCTAAAAGCCAAAAACAAATTGAAGTTTCTGTGGTATATTCCTCTAATAAGTCGACATTAATTTTAAACTAGTAGGAGAAAAAAATTGATATTACATTTGATTACTTAGATCAGTAGCAAATAATTTAAAATTTCTCAAGTTTGCTAACATTGTTCATATTGCATGAACCAATTATTATGAATGATTTTTTTTTTCCCTTCACTAATATCTTTCTGTTCATAAAAGGTATATTTAAGCTACATTTTCATTTTTTAATATTTTATGTCCACGGATGCTATTTAAATGTTTATGGATTTGCTTTTACAACTTCGTTTAGTTTTGGATTTAAAATAAATGTCAGCATATATATATATATATATATATATATATATATATCTTATGCAACTGATTCAATCATATATTTTGAAATGTTCCTTTTACGATATTAAAACTATTTGTATGCAAAAATCAATGAATATGACGTTATCGTTCAATTTATTAGATACCTTCAGAATATTTATGAGGGTTTTATTGAGATACTAGGTAGCAAGCTTTGTAAATAAGTTACTCTAAAAAAATTTAGTTGATTAGTTCTTAATTGAATTTTTATTTTTGATAAGAAACTTTTACATGCAAAAACGCTGCAACACTTTTTATTTGCTTCAGTTGCGAGAGACAGTAGCCAAAATACTAATTTTTGCCATTCCAAGTATTGTGAATGAAGGAAAAGTTAAATCAATTAAAAATAATGTCAACTTTTGACTTAAATCTTGATCATTGTGTAAATTTCAAATGTAATTGTATTTTGTACAAGCATTCCATTACATTTTGACACACTAAAATTGATAATTTCAGAATATGTATATATATATATATATATATATATATATATGGAAAAATTGGATGAATAATTTGGTTCTTTCAAAATATTAAAACTCTCCAGAGAGTTGTACATTATTCAATTTTTTAAATCATTACTTTTGTGAAAAAACTTTTATAATTTTGTTTGTTTTAATAACCGTAATATGTTTTAAAGAGCAAAAATAAATACTATAATTATGTAGATGCAAGTGTTAAAGATCCAGATCCAGTAAAATTGGAACTTTAATAATATACACAAACATTTCTAAAAACAGTTTAAGGAATTCATACCACAACTTAATAAAACAGACACAACACAATTTATGTCATTTTTATGATTGTCATGACAAAGGATATTATATGCAATTAAGTATAGATTATGATAAAATAAAATATACATATTCTTGTATATCTAATTTTTCTTTTAATCCATGTATGATCAAATTAAGATCTTTACATCCATAAATTATTAGTATTCTTTGATTAGCTTTAATATTATTAACTTGAAAAAACTCTAAGCAATATTAATGTAAAAAAGATAATGTGTATATATATAGAGAATTGTACATAAAAATAAAATAAATCGTTTTTATATTAAATGATAGTATTATTTTAATTTTTAATATTAGTTATTTTAAAATTATTTTGAAAAAATGAAAACACACTAAAAACTATAGAATTGCTTTTATTTGTTATAATTGTAACTTTTTGTAACCATATATTTTGTAGTTTTATCTCAAAAATCTTAAGTAAACATATTATTTCATGATCAAATTATTGTACACCTACCTAATTATTAAAAACCATAAATGCATCTTGTGATAAATCTTAAAATATTAATTATCAATTTTTATTATTATTATTATTATTATTATTATTTAGATTATCGAATTTGGATATCCACACATTTTTGTAACTTATTTTTTTATGTTGTCTTAACTAAGGCTTTTACATCCATCAAATTGGTCATTCTTTTTCCTTTTACTGTGACTTTTTATTTTTATCTTTACTATGACTTTTACTTTTATATTTACTGTGACTTTTACTTTTACTGTGGCTATGACTTTTACTTTTACTTTTACTTTTGTTGACTGCGCGGTTGACTGCTCCGTTTATTACTGCGCGATTTTGAAATTTGAACGTTGAGTTTGTGGGTGTGTGCAATCCAAAGTGTGTGTTACAATTTGAGCTTACCCAAAACAAATTTGAAACTCTTGATTAGAATTTTGAAGCTCAAAATTGAACTTCGTGCAGAGTGCTAGTAGGGGGTCGTAGATGCTTTACAAATTTGATGTTCAAAATATTTTTTGGATTGTGCACTTCAAGATTGAGTTGTAAATTGTGAGTTGTAAGTTGGAAGTTGTAAGTTGGAAGTTGTAAGTTGGAAGTTGTAAGTTGTGAAGTTGGAGTTGGAGTTGGTTGATGTGATCTTGGAGGTTTGAATACAAAGTTGGAGTTGGAGTTGGAGTCACAAAGTTCAAGTTGTGGAGATTGTTCAAGAAATTTGAGGTGAGATTGCAATTTTTGCAAGATTGTGAAAGATTGAAAGGTTTTGAAAGATTGAAATTTTTGGTAATTTTTTATTTTGGGTGATCATAAAATCAAGTTTTCAAATATTAAACTTTCAAATCAAGTTGAGATTTAGTGGTTTTAGTTGCAAAAAATCAAACAAAAAACAAAAAACATCAAGGACTCAAAAACGAGCAGCTGCTGTTCTGTGATGTGCACATCGCCAAAACTTTTACTTTTACTTTTTTAAACTTTTTAAAATTTTTTTTTTTGCCCAACAATTTTTCATCCACTGTGATTTTTCATCAGCTGTGTGATTTTTCATCCACTACATTTTTTCATCTACTGTGCAATTTTTCATCCACTATGGATGAAACTGTATTTTGGGCAGAATTCATTTAACAGTGAGTTAATATCTCCCAAAATACTAATTATTTTTGAATTCCGACTTCGGATTTGGACTTTTTAGGTGCATTTTCAGTTAGAAGGAAAGAAAATGATTTGTGACAAAAGTTTTCAAAAATCGACATTTTTAAGTGTCTTCAAAAAAAAAAATTTAGAGTCTAAACTTTGGAGGTAGAGTATGGCTTGAGAATATGTTCATCACATTTGTTTCCATGCATGTTTTTTGTGTGTTAGATCAATACCTCTTGGCTACGAATGTGTTGCAAAGCAAGCGCCAACCTAATCTATTTTTTTTCTTTGAAGTGTAGTGCATTGAACGTAAACTTTTTAGAGTGGAGTGAAATTTCATCAAAAGGTGCAACTTTCTTGGAGCACAAGCTTACAAAGGTACTATCAAAAACCTTACTTTTGTGAGTTTTGAAATGGTTTGGGATTCACGTTAGGATTTTTGTTATCCTACATTAAACTCTGTTTTTTCTTATCAATTTTTTCAATCCTTGTGGAGTTTAGGATTTAGGGTAGGATTTCTTCTATCCTACACTAAATCCTATTTATTGATATATCTTTTTATCTTTGTGGAGTTTAGAATTTATGATAGGGTCTTCATTCTCCTATCCTAAATTCCACTTTTTTTATTATATTGTCATCTTTCTAAAGAATGGCTGGTGCTTTGTCTACCATTGATAATTTTGTAGATGTCAATATTGATAGTGTTGGATCAATGTGCATCCAATGTCCAAAATATTTGGCTTTTCGTTTTAAAAAAGAAAAAAATACCATTTGTTGTTACAATGGCAAAATTGCCAATGAACATGTTAATCACCCCATTGTCCATCCAATGCTCAATGAGCTTTATATGGGCACAACACCAAAATCTCGAGAGTTCTTTAAATCCATTCGAAAGTATAATCAAGCTTTTGCATTTATAAGTATGCGTAGTAAGTTTCAGTCTGGCCAAGTTGAAGGTAGTGTCAAGCACAAAGACTCGATGAGGGAAAATATACACCAAAAGGCTATCTCGATATAATAAGTCAAAATATAAACAAGTATGTATATTAAAAGAAAACTGGAATGGCTATTGCCACAAGACAAGAAACTAAAGACTCTTGAACTTGGACTAGAAGCAAGAAAGGAGTTGACAAGAGTCAAGAAGCCTTCACTCTTGTCTCTATATATACTATCTAACTAGGGGCTACATGGCGACGTTCTATAGGACCTTCAATATGTGTTGACTTTGTAGGACACATGCCTTGACTTACAAGGCAAGTTTTTCTACGTGTGGGCCACATACTTAGCTTGATCTTCAAACTAACAACATGTGTGGCACATGGCCAACTTGTTGACCACGTTTCTAATCCAAAAAGTCAATTAAAGACACCTATGAAGTCAAAGCAGCGTCTAGAAAGTTTCTAGGAAGCTTCTCTATTAAATATTATAGAATTAACTTACTTTTATCTACTTTTATTTACTTCTACCTATTTCTATATGTAATTATTAGCTTACATGATTATGGCCGTGACATTACCCCCCCTTCTAGAGACGAGTTCCACGAGGAGCGTTCATCATATGTTGAAGAAATCTATGATGCGACGAATTATATTCGCCACATACTCTGATCTCTGTTCTCTTCGAAGATGATTGATAGGGCCTCTCAACCATCGGTAGTGTCCCATACCAGGGCGGAAAGACCACCCAGTTATTTGATCATTGTTGAGGCCTTCGTAACT